GAATAGTTGTTATTTTCTTAATTCCATCGAGTAATTGTTGTAGCATGTTTGTTTTTCTATAATATATCGGTGCAGGAAATGGACGCAAACGTGACGGTAAATTGTGTTCATCCCGGGGTGGCGAGAACTAGACTCACTAGAGATCGCGAAGGCCTCATTACTGGTGAATACGCGCATACATATCTTCTATATGTATAAATATAGCTTTTGCATACATTGTGAAAGTAAAATTGTAACTTGCGATGCGCAGATTTTTTGTTCTTCTTGGCTTCAAAATTTTTGAAGACGATTCCTCAGGTAACATCTCTTGTTTTTGTAACTTATTGACATTCGTATATCATGTAAAGGGATAAATTTATTTATTTTTAATTATGTCGTTTAGGCGGCTGCTACGACTTGCTATGTTGCTACACATCCAAGACTCGTAAATGTGAGTGGAAAATACTTTTCTGATTGTAACGAAGCTTCAACCTCCAACCTAGGATCCAATACGACCGAGGCTGCAAGGTTATGGATAGCATCGGAAATCATGGTTAATTTCAAGGGCGTTAAAGACACTTTATCCCTTGGATTAAGCCATATTAATCAAAATAAATGAACAATATATATGTATACATTCATACATAGTTTAAGCAAAGATAAATTATAAATATATATTATAATGTCAAGAATAGTCGTTAAACTACAAAGTTTCGACTAGTGCGACAGTACAAAGTATTCGTATGTAATAATAAGTATGATTGTGTTCGATATTTGATTTATACACCGTATGGAGTTCAGTAAGACTGCTTATATTTATTTACGAGACTATGGTCTCGTAGTTTTATTCTTAAGAAGAGTGAAGTCACTTTGCCCGAATTTGATGTCACATCAGTTGAACGACGCTCACATTGCACTGTGGGTTTGGTCAACCAAAGTGTCATCCAAGATATTCATGTAGCATTACTCTTCTTAAAAATTCTCAAACAATTATGGAAAATGCTATGTGTACTACAACTTGTAAAAAAGGTATGACTACATAGCCAAGTGGCGGCCATTAATA